TAGTTTGCACCTTGCATTTCGTTAGACTCTATGAGAGTAGTGAGCTCTTACTGATCTTGACTTGGCCTTGGTGGCCCTATGCCTTGGCTGAGGATAGTGATGTCCAACTTAGTTGTTTAAGGTTAAGATGTTGGTACCTGTACTATAGCTTTGTCTATGAGGAGGTTGTGTACCGATATAAGTCCATCTCATGGTCTTCACTTTAGTTTCGACTGAGTGTTAATCACATAGCTAGCCTCTTCAAGGCATGCTCAGAGCTATTGACTAAATGCATTAGTGAGCTTATTGCGGTTGAATTGGATCCAAGTGGTCATTTAGTTTGTGCTTGTCTATGAACTTTTATCTCGTACCTGGGGTATCACGTTCATGTTAGACAAGTATATAACTTGATGACAAGAGTTGGTGTTTGGGTCTTGTGAACGCAAGTTGAGGAGTGATTGTTGGTTGCTATGCGACTAGTGATTACTTGTAGACTTAGTCGAGGACTGTTGACACTTGCTTCGCTTGATGATGATTTACCAGTGATGGGTTTGCTTTACCGAATGGTGTTGCGGAGGATTGTGTCATTAGACTTACATGAGTTTTTCATGTTGACACATTGACTCTACCTCTGTTGATATCATTGGGTTACATCTAGTCCATAATGTTGGATTTCATTGAGTCTTGGACGTGGTGAATCACTCATTGATGATGTGTTATCTAAAACTGAGTTTTGCTGAAGGAATTGGTCTCGGATACTGATTAAGGTATCTTCGACCTTGGTTAGCTTGGTTGTTAGAGAGCTTTAGGTGGTGATTCACTCGTGCTTTCTTCTAGTGTTGATGGCATTAAAGTGATGCCTTGTTGATATTATTGATGTTGAGATTCAAGTGAGATGAAATGTCTATCTTTAAGATTGATATTGAGTTTCATTACTCTCGATAAAGATAGTGTTGATGGTTTGGCCATGACTTTGTGTTATTAGCATTCATGCATTTGCTAATTAACAACTATGTTGACGTTCAAATGAACTAAGTGACAAGTTGAGTTAGTTTTGTTTTAGACGAGATTGTTTAGTAGAGGTTGAACTTTGAGCTTTTCCTTGAAAAGTGATTTAATTGTGGACTATGCTAACTCTATGAAAGGAAAAGTTAGTGATTGGTATTGAAGTGATTAAATCCTTGTTGGGTTCCAGTTAGGATATATTGATCATTGATGATTCTTCTTGTACTTGTTATGAAGTGAGTTACGTCTTTCTATAGATGGATTTATAGAGGATCAAATTGAATGATCACTTATTGAGCATAATTTCGTTATACTTAGCTTTTGGATTGATGCAAACATACTCTTCATTAGCTTTTGTATTATGAAGTTTGGCTTATGGATGTGTTGAAGAGGGTATTGTGGGTTGTCCATGATTTCTTCTTTAGCATTGAAATTAGTTCATGCAAGACTCGTGATCATTGTTAGGCAAGACTTGGGTATAGGCTTTTTTTAGCTTTTGGTTTTTTTTTAAGTTTCATGCTCAATATCCCATTTGTTAGAAGTTGTTGGGGGAAGGCATTTTGGCTCATTATTTTCTATGTTGAAGTTAGCTTTTGCATCTAGCAATCATTGGTGATGATTGACTATCATCTAGGATAGTTGATTATCCTTGTCAAAAGGTTTTGCTTGATTATTGTTGGTATAGAATGGTTTGCCATTCTTCGGGATGGTGGATTCCTTCTTAGACGATGATTATGCATCTCTTTATTGATGAAATGATTGATGATCTTTCATGATGGTTAGTTGTTCTCTTTGATGGCTTATGGCTTTTCGCATTACCACATATTCTTTGTGGTTTGCTTTGGATTGGTCTTTGGGTTTGAGATATCAGTAGGATGTGCCGATACTTGCTTAAGCAATTCTGGTTCCTTCATATTGTTAACTGGGATCTATTCAGATTGGCTGGTATGATGGTTGGCATGACTATATGAGAAATACATAAACTTAAATGAGTTACGAGGCAACTTCTTTGTCTAACACGGATGCGCTACCAACTCAGACACCTTCCAGCCGTCGCCGACAAGGAAATGACCAACGGAGTCAGCCACCCTTGCTACTTTGGGAGTCACCCAGCTTACAAAAGTGTGATATGCCCCTACCCGCAGGGACATAGAGAGAGGAGCTAGAGGCCTCAACCCTCATGAGCAAAGAAACCAAATCCGTTAGTAAGGTTTAGATAGACTACTGTAAACAGGAAGTTAGAGTTGTTTACACGGTCATGCCCTTTTAACAGAATAAGGATCATTGACAGAGAAGCGGGTTATGTGACCAGTCGATAGTAGCTATCCCATGACTAGAGATTTCACCATGCACACGAAGTGCCGAAGCCAGTCTACCTATACTGGCCCAAACTCAAAGATCAATAGATGGACAATATCAAAGTCATAAACAATTATATTTTAGAGACTTAATTATCAGTGAATATATCTTAGATTAGAACACAAAAGTATTCCAAGTAAGTTATCATTCGATAAACCAATATTATAGGATAGGAACTACCAAGATCACTATCATTGGAAAACATAGGATTCACCATCCAATAAAATTCAATAGCAAGTATATCATCAAGGAAACTCAATGATGAAACTTAACTATCGAAGATGGTAGACAGTATGCCAAACAACTTACTAAAGATAATTTAAAGAACACAAAGTATCATTGACTGGCAAATAGAAACTATGACTATCCTATAATACTTGTTTATCGGATGATAACTTAATTGGAATACTTTTGTGTTCTAATCTAAGATTTATTCACTGATAATTAAATCTCTAAGATATTATTGTCTATGACTTTGATATTGTCCGTATATTGATCTTTGAGTTTGGGCAAGTATAGGCAAACTGGCTTCGACACTTCGTGTGCATGTTAAAATCTTTAGTCATGGGGTAACTACTATCGACTGGTCACATAACCCGCCTTTTTGTCGATGTTCCTTATTCCGTTAAAAGGGCGTGACTGTGTAAACATCTCTAACTGCCTCTTTACAGTAGTCTATCTAAACCTTACCGACGGGTTTGGTTTCTTTGCTCATGAGTGTTGGGGCTTCTGGCTTTTCTCTCTATGTCCTTGCAGATAGGGACATATCACACTTTTGTAGCTGGGTGACACCCAGAGTAGCAAGGGTGGCTGACTCTGTTGGTCATTTCCTTGTCGGCGACGGCCGGAAGGTGTCTGAGCTGGTAGCGCATCTGCGTTAGACAAAGAGGTTGCCCCCTAACTCATTTAAGTTAGTGCATTTCTCACATAGTGTGAGTACCGTGAACTTTTTCTAGAGTTGTTTCCTTGGCGGTATTCTAGACTCAAATATGCATCGACGAGGATGTCGATCTTCCCTAGGGGGGGGAGAGTATTACGAATGTGACTTCGGGTATCGAAAGTTATTTGTCGACCGGTCCTTATAGACACTCTTTCCTTACTGCCACGACGGCAGGAGGTCGGTATTATTGGTTCCCTTTATCAGCCCCTCTTGTTCAAGTGTTTGTTTACTGGGCTTAGCACCTGTACTTAGCCAGATGGACATAAGGTAGGAACTCCTATGTGTTTCTAGCTGAGCATACTTAGCCTGGCTCTTAGTTCTCTTTTGCTCTATCTTGCATTGGCTTGACAAAAACCCTCGTGTATTGAGATTAGTCCCTTAATATCGCTGGATGATAGCTTACCGTGTTTGCCAAACACCCTCGCTATCATGCCCTTTGTATTAGTCTAGATGCTATTTATGGAAAGTGTCTAGATTTGCTCATTTGGCATATCTACGGAATGTAAAGATCATCCTGAACACAATGGTGTTTGTCCCGTGTCCAAATTCGCAATCTAGGGACATTCCATATTTAGTAAGTTTCAAGCTTGTCCCAGAGATTAACTCTTGATACTAAAAGAGGCTTGGAGTGAAAGCCCAAAGCATGTGTTCCTCAGAGGGGGGGGGGGCGGGGGCTGTGGGGGGTTCCAAATGTATAGTAGGGATAGTGGGTAGGTTGGGCATGGCTGACCAACCTGAGGCATAGTCTAGCTCTCACTTGTGTGCTTGTCTTTGTTTTGTGTCCGGCTTGGGTCTAAGCCCGTAAATCACCATAGGATAAAAGGTAAAAACCACACGCACTACACAAGGCGAGGAAAGATAACATGGCCGAAAGATCACATATGTTAGCTATGGCCCAAAGTATTAACCACTTTACAAGAAGCAAAATATTTTTAAGTGTATAAGAGGCTTGTTCTTTGGCCTGGTTTGTGCTTTGTCCCTTGTCCTAGGTCAACTTTAGCAAACTTAAGTGTTTGATATCCCTCCTGTGATGTTCTAGAGATTTTTGGTGGAACCTTCATATAATAATTTTAAAAGGTTAAAAGTTGTAACTTGAGAATTTTAGAGAAAAATACCTATGATCACAATTAAAAATGTTGATTAGACTCTTGAAATCATTTGTAACTACTTGGAATTCTGGTATTAAAATTGAAATTGATAAAAAGTGAGGCAAAATAATTTTTTGGACATCAAATATAAAGAAACAAAACAAAATATCACCATATTTTAATTGTAACACCCCAAGCTACCTGAGTCATATAAGACAAAATTTATGATCATGATGAAATTGATGTTTATGAATGATTCTATTTTAGATTTAAAAAAACATGTTTAAATGAAATTTATGTTCACCTGGGTCCATGTGAGACGAAATTCTTGCTTGCCCATACTTTGGGTAGGATGTGTGAACTCCCACAAATGAGTTTTGGCCCCTATCTTTCACGTTTTCTTGTCTTCTTTGCCACACAAGTTTCAACATGGCAAAAGATAACAAAATTTAACAAGAGGCCTCACACTTTACATGTCAATTTGGAGTGGCCAAGGCGAGACAAGATGTCGATGCCACTCATTCCCTGCCCCTATGCTTGCCACCATCCCTTGTACGGAAGAACACAGAAACAATTACTTTGTACGGTGGTTCTGCCAAGACATAAGAACGCTCTGGATCCTTCTCTACCTCAAAGAGAACTTGGTGCCTTTCTTCTCATTGAATGAATCTCAAGCGATGGGTCACGGGACATAGACTATGTTCTTGGTTCGTATTGGTCTCGGGGAAAGAAAAGGATTGAGAAGAAGATATTTCGCAGCTCTAGCAGAAACTTCTCGAGATCTTGTCGAAGATTCGCAAGCCTCGTACGCTCGCTCGCTGCGCCATTGCCGAGCTCAAAGATCTCCTCCAAGGCAAGTCCGTCCACCGCCGGATCAATCAGGCAGGCCTCCAGAGAAATTTCCAGCTGGGCAATCTCCTCCTCCAAATGTATGGAAATGCGGGGATTTAAGCAGCGCTCAAGAAGTCTTCGATTCCATCCCAGAAAAACCACGCTCGCCTGGTCCCTATTCGTCACCGCATATGCCCAGAATGGGCATACCAGGTCTCTACGACTCTATGCAAAGCCACGGCCTTTTTCCAAGTGACTTTACCATCTCGGTGGCCCTCAGCTCCTGTTCCAGCCTCAAGAGCTTCGAGCGAGGAGCGAGGATCCATCGCTGGGCTGACGAGCACGGCTATGGCTCCAACCTTCTCGTCCAGAACGCGCTCGTCAACTTCTACGCAAAGTGCTCCAAGATCCCAGAGGCAATGAAACTGTTTGGCGAGATGAGCGAGCGAACGAGTGTCACCTGGAACGCAGTCATTTCGGCTCACGCCCAGAACGATCGCTGGCACTCTCGATCTCTATCGCGAGATGCTGGCCGAGGCTGTCGAGCCGAGTAGCGTCACCTTTGCGGTGGCTCTTAGCGCTTGCTCCAGCTTGGGAGCTATGGAGGAAGGCTGGAGAATCCACGCTCGGTTCTCACTGTGTGGATTCCACCGCGCCACCATCGCCCAGAATGGGCTCGTAAGCATGTACGCCAAGTGTGGCTGCCTGGACGGAAGCTCGAGCTATCTTCAATGGAATCCTGGAGCGAACTGTCGTCTCGTGGTCTGCCATGATCGGAGCTTATGCTCTCCATGGCCGCGGCCAGGAAGCTCTCCTTCTCTTTCATAGGATGAGAAAAGATGGAAGAGTGGAGCCGAATGCCATGACTTTCACTGGAGTTTTCAATGCCTGTGGCGTGGTCGAGGATCTGGAGCAAGGCAGAGAGATTCACGCTCTCGCCATGGCGAGTGGAGAGCTCAAATCATCCAGCCCCATCCTGGAGAACGCGCTGCTGAACATGTTCGTGAGGTGTGGCAGCCTGGAAGAAGCTCGCAAAGTCTTCGACGCGATGGATCATCCGGACGCCTTCTCATGGACGAACATGATCACCGCTTGCACAGAGAACTGCGAGCTTCTCGAGGCGTTGGGCTCTTCCACTGGATGAATTTGAAAGGGGTCCCTCCAACCAGTGTCACGCTCGCCAGCGTCCTCAATGCGTGTGCTTGTTCTGGAGCTCTCAAAGTTGGCAAGCAAATCCATGCCCGCTTTGATGCCAGCGGCTTTCTCCGCCATGCAAACCAGGAACTCTGTATCCTGGACTGCGATGATTGCCGCGCTTGCTCAGCACGGCCAGGGCGATGAAGCTCTCGAGCTCTTCAAGGAGATGAACTTGGAAGGCATGGTGGCCGACGCCACCACTTTCATCTGCGTTCTCTGCGCTTGCAGCCATGCCGGGCTCATCAAGGAGAGCCTCGAGTTCTTCCACAGCATGGTGGAGGACTACGCCATCGCTCCAACTGAGACGCACTACTGCCGAGCGCTGGACACGATTGGCCGCGCGGGGCGCCTCCAGGACGCCGAGGAGCTGATCCACAGCATGCCTTTTCACCCCGAGACAGTGACATGGAAGACGCTGCTCAACTCTTGTAGAATCCATAGCCAGGCCGAGCGAGCTACAAAGGTAGCGGAGCTCCTCGCGAAGGTCGCGCCCGAGGATAGCATGGCATACACGCTGCTGGGAAACGTCTACGCTGCCACCGAGAGATATGGAGACCAAATGAGAGTGAGGAAGAGCATGACGGATCGGGGCCTCAAGAAAGTACCCGGGAAGAGCTTCATCGAGGTGAAGAACAAGGTCCATGAGTTCGTCGCTGGCGATCGAGCTCATCCCAGCCGAGACGAGATCTTGCTAGAGTTGGAGAAGCTCGGCGGAAGGATGAGAGAAGCCAGGTACGTTCCAAACACGAAGGACGTCCTTCATGCCGTGAACGAGGAGGAGAAAGAGCAGCTGATTGGATTGCACAGTGAGAAGCTGGCCATTGCGTTTGGGTTGATCGCCACACCACCTGGAACTCCTCTCTTGATCGTCAAGAACCTCTAAGTGTATTATCATACTTGTTTTGACAATAGTAAAGGTACTAAGAGTTAGACTTCTATATATTTTAAACAAAATATTATTAAATACTTTTTTTTGTAATTCGTCGAGCTATTTAAGCAATTTCGTTAAATCTATCATTTGCTAGCGTATTTAGACACATAAGATATTTTAGTTTTTGCTTTTTTATACTTTTGTCTAGTCACACAGAGTTGGGATCAACCAACTACAAGTATAAGTCTATAAACAAAATGTATCTTCTGATACGTGTGGTGGATTGCTAGTAAACATTTTTATTTTGCTTACCCCAATTCCCTTGTTCAACTTCTATTAGAACTATGAAGGGTCATCAATTTTCAATCTTTCCACCTAGGTGTACAAGAGGACCTTTCCTTTCTACCCATGCCTAATGCGGTTAAGATTAATTTAGTGCATAGTTTCTTGTGCAAAATAATGAATTTTAGAGTAGCTTGCTTACTTCATAATGGGTCTTACCCTCTAGCTTATAGTTAATCTTGCCCTTACAACTATGGAATTAGAAAATGTAGCTTATTATTCTTAGCAAATTTTAGGCAAACCTTTTTTAAATGGATCAACATTAATTTGAATGAGGCATGGAGGTCATTCCGTGAAATTGTCATATGAAATCAACAAAAGGGTCAAATTGTCTAGCACATGATAGCTTATTCTAGATTAATTTGTTTGTGGAATGATGTTAAGTAGCTTTTTAAATATGTGATAGCTAATTCATGGAGGACTTTACTTCAGATTTAGACAAAAATTACTTTTCAATGCATATTTTTCTCTAGCCTTTTCGTCAACGGGTGATAATAGTCAATACAAGTTTTTGTTCAAGTTTGTATGACAAATTTTTGAGCTTTATAATGTATTTCAAAATTTCTAGTTTTAGAGAAAACCCTTTTTATCTATAAGCTTATTCTAATTCTTTAGATACAATAGTAATGTTTCCAAGACTAACGCCTACACCTAGTAGTAAGCTCTATAGCTCTTTATTCTATATTTATGGTGTGAAGCCTCTCAACTACTTCATCTAGCAAAAGCTCAATTAGCATATGGGGTGATCTGTGCATTCTAAACGTAGGCAAAAATTAAACTATAACTCTTACTAAAGTAGTTATATAATTTTGTTTATGTGGAAAATATTCACTAAGTGGAAATTCTCTCTTGTAAGGAGGTATATATAATTGTCGATTACATCTCATAAGGGTGGTTAACACCTTGCAAATGGTGTTTCACACTTAGAATGGTGAGTATTTCCCCTAGCAATTAAATGTCACTTAACTAATCTAAAGGACAGATTTTCCCACCTATTCACTTATATATTTACTTTTTGTTTATGCTTCACTTTAGGGGATATAGGGTGTATTTCATGTAATTGCCCTTGATTCCTCCCTATGAGGTTGGATGTGATGTGAGTGCTCTCAAAATGTATAAGAGAGTGACACCTTTCACACTGAGCAATATTTATAATTTGAGTAAGCTCTATACGTATAAAAGATGAGCTTTGATTAATTTGCCTAGATGTACTAAGTGTAGAGCAATTCATGATAATTGCTTTTGAATTTCTGACTTGTGAGTCTTGTTTAAGCCTCATAGGCTTTTGCAATATACGTAGGAGACTTAAACTTGGGACAAGTCTACTCTTAAACCATGTCTGAGTAGTTTTCCAAGTTAAAGGACCTTGGTTGAGACAACACAATGTTTTAATGGTGATTTTACCTTTGTTAAAGCCTCGTAAAATTTTGGTGAATAATTTTCCAATTTATTCTTCACTAAGGCTGGCTCTAGCTCTCTTTAAACTAGAGTTGAAGATAAAAGTTATAGGTGCCCAATTTTCCTGCTTGTATATGCCTAAAACAATTGTGACATTCTGCTGAAAAATATATCCTTTAAAAACCCAAATGAGAATTTACTCAAAAGTAAAGAAATTTCGAGTAGTTAATTATGTTTTCCAAAGCAAATAAACTCCTTTCCTTCTTTTTTTAATTTTTATCAAGAAATTATTGGCTAAATAATTTGAACTTGAGTTTATTGGCAACGTATGCCGAACTAGACAAAGGTAGTTTTTTAAAGGAAAACAAGGCTTAATGCAATAGTGCCGACCTAAGGTATGGTTTTTCAAGCTCTAATTTGTGCCAATTTCAAACTTGTCCCATACTCTGTGGCTTAGGTGACAAATCTTTCTTGTGTTGTTTGGGCACTAAATTATTGCAATCACAAAAAAACTCTTTTGTTCAGTGTTGTCTAGGTTTGCAATCACTAAAGAGATCTACTTATGATTCTTAGTGTTAGGCATGTTTAGAATTCACAAGCGATTTTCTTCCGGCTGTTTTTCAAATCAAAGAGTGACGGTTTATCCCAAAGTGGTCATCAAAAGTGAATAAAACGTTTTCTACTTATACTTGCTTTTTTGCTCTTATCTATAAAATATTGACAAACAAATAGAAACAAGAACATAGAGAAGAGAAGAAAAAAAAAAAGAATGAGAAGAGAATAAAAAAATGAATTTTGCTTTGAACCCCAAAGACGTGAGTAAAGATAAACATATATCACTCTCTCAACTCTACTTTGCACAAACAGTCATAAATAAAAGAAAAAATAGTTAATTCAATGTAAATGCATATAACAGTCAGTTAAGGTTATTTTCCAGCACGTCTAAGTACTAAGAATCATTTCAATCGACAAAAATGGGTCTATGATCCACCTATATATTACATAATTTTATAATTGTTTCTAATTGCTTCACGTTTATCTATGACGAGTGTTGTATAAGTCAAATCTTTCTTTTTTGGATGCCTAAGCTTAAACATAACTCCATTTCATTTAAGCTTTTCTTCTTTTGCTTTATTTGGGATGATACACAAAATAAAACATTTACCTCTTCATCACATACTATAGTCTTTTTTGAGACAACATGGAAAGAAATTTATTTACTTAAGGCTTAGTGGGGGAATTGAGAACTCTTTTGAGACAACGTGGAAAGAAATTTATTTGCTTAAGGCCTAATAAGGGAATTGTTTTGAGAACTCATTACTTTTCTACATCTCATGAGCTTTTAAAGAACACAATGAAATACATATGGCATTGTAGTATATATGGTTTTCACCTTTTACTCTATGGTGATTTATTATAAGATAATTATGAAGCAAAACATAACCCTTGAACACATAGGCCAAAGATAGTGGAATGGAATCTAAGTTTAAAGACCTTAGGCCATTGAAAGAAGGGATAGAGTCAAACTCTTAAGCTATAGTCAAACTCCTTGAAAAGTGATTTAATTGTGGACTATGCTAACTCTATGAAAGGAAAAGTTAGTGATTGGTATTGAAGTGATTAAATCCTTATTGGGTTCCAGTTAGGATATATTGATCATTGATGATTCTTCTTGTACTTGTTATGAAGTGAGTTACGTCTTTCTATAGATGGATTTATAGAGGATCAAATTGAATGATCACTTATTGAGCATAATTTCGTTATACTTAACTTTTGGATTGATGCAAACATACTCTTCATTAGCTTTTGTATTATGAAGTTTGGCTTATGGATGTGTTGAAGAGGGTATTGTGGGTTGTCCATGATTTCTTCTTTAGCATTGAAATTAGTTCATGCAAGACTCGTGATCATTGTTAGGCAAGACTTGGGTATAGGCTTCTTTTAGCTTTTGGTTTTTTTTTGAGTTTCATGCTCAATATCCCATTTGCTAGAAGTTGTTGGGGGAAGGCATTTTGGCTCATTATTTTCTATGTTGAAGTTAGCTTTTGCATCTAGCAATCATTGGTGATGATTGACTATCATCTAGGATAGTTGATTATCTTTGTCAAAAGGTTTTGCTTGATTATTGTTGGTATAGAATGATTTGCCATTCTTCGGGATGGTGGATTCCTTCTTAGACGATGATTATGCATCTCTTTATTGATAAAATGATTGATGATCTTTCATGATGGTTAGTTGTTCTCTTTGATGGCTTATGGCTTTTCGCATTACCACATATTCTTTGTGGTTTGCTTTGGATTGGTCTTTGGGTTTGAGATATCAGTAGGATGTGCCGATACTTGCTTAAGCAATTTTGGTTCCTTCGTATTGTTAACTGGGATCTATTCAGATTGGCTGGTATGATGGTTGGCATGACTATATGAGAAATACATAAACTTAAATGAGTTACGAGGCAACTTCTTTGTCTAACACGGATGCGCTACCAACTCAGACACCTTCCAGCCGTCGCCGACAAGGAAATGACCAACGGAGTCAGCCACCCTTGCTACTTTGGGAGTCACCCAGCTTACAAAAGTGTGATATGCCCCTACCCGCAGGGACATAGAGAGAGGAGCTAGAGGCCTCAACCCTCATGAGCAAAGAAACCAAATCCGTTAGTAAGGTTTAGATAGACTACTGTAAACAGGAAGTTAGAGTTGTTTACACGGTCATGCCCTTTTAACAGAATAAGGATCATTGACAGAGAAGCGGGTTATGTGACCAGTCGATAGTAGCTATCCCATGACTAGAGATTTCACCATGCACACGAAGTGCCGAAGCCAGTCTACCTATACTGGCCCAAACTCAAAGATCAATAGATGGACAATATCAAAGTCATAAACAATTATATTTTAGAGACTTAATTATCAGTGAATATATCTTAGATTAGAACACAAAAGTATTCCAAGTAAGTTATCATTCGATAAACCAATATTATAGGATAGGAACTACCAAGATCACTATCATTGGAAAACATAGGATTCACCATCCAATAAAATTCAATAGCAAGTATATCATCAAGGAAACTCAATGATGAAACTTAACTATCGAAGATGGTAGACAGTATGCCAAACAACTTACTAAAGGTAACTTAAAGAACACAAAGTATCATTGACTGGCAAATAGAAACTATGACTATCCTATAATACTTGTTTATCGGATGATAACTTAATTGGAATACTTTTGTGTTCTAATCTAAGATTTATTCACTGATAATTAAATCTCTAAGATATTATTGTCTATGACTTTGATATTGTCCGTATATTGATCTTTGAGTTTGGGCAAGTATAGGCAAACTGGCTTCGGCACTTCGTGTGCATGTTAAAATCTTTAGTCATGGGGTAGCTACTATCGACTGGTCACATAACCCGCCTTTTTGTCGATGTTCCTTATTCCGTTAAAAGGGCGTGACTGTGTAAACATCTCTAACTGCCTATTTACAATAGTCTATTTAAACCTTACCGACAGGTTTGGTTTCTTTGCTCATGAGTGTTGGGGCTTCTGGCTTTTCTCTCTATGTCCTTGCAGGTAGGGACATATCACACTTTTGTAGCTGGGTGACACCCAGAGCAACAAGGGTGGCTGACTCTGTTGGTCATTTCCTTGTCGGCGACGGCCGGAAGGTGTCTGAGCTGGTAGCGCATCCGCGTTAGACAAAGAGGTTGCCCCCTAACTCATTTAAGTTAGTGCATTTCTCACATAGTGTGAGTACCGTGAACTTTTTCTAGAGTTGTTTCCTTGGCGGTATTCTAGACTCAAATATGCATCGATGAGGATGTTGATCTTCCCTAGGGGGGGGAGAGTATTGCGAATGTGACTTCGGGTATCGAAAGTTATTTGTCGACCGGTCCTTATAGACACTCTTTCCTTACTGCCACGACGGCAGGAGGTCGGTATTATTGGTTCCCTTTATCAGCCCCTCTTGTTCAAGTGTTTGTTTACTGGGCTTAGCACCTGTACTTAGCCAGATGGACATAAGGTAGGAACTCCTATGTGTTTCTAGCTGAGCATACTCGGCCTGGCTCTTAGTTCTCTTTTGCTCTATCTTGCATTGGCTTGACAAAAACCCTTGTGTATTGAGATTAGTCCCTTAATATCGCTGGATGATAGCTTACCGTGTTTGCCAAACACCCTCGCTATCATGCCTTTTGTATTAGTCTCAATTCATCCTAGATGCTATTTATGGAAAGTGTCTAGATTTGCTCATTTGGCATATCTACGGAATGTAAAGATCATCCTGAACACAATGGTGTTTGTCCCGTGTCCAAATTCGCAATTTAGGGACATTCCATATTTAGTAAGTTTCGAGTTTGTCCTAGAGATTAACTCCTGATACTAAAGGAGGCTTGGAGTGAAAGCCCAAAGCATGTGTTCCTCAGAGGGGGGGGGGGGGGGGGGGGGGGGGGGGGGGCTTTGTATAGTAGAGATAGTGGGTAGGTTGGGCATGGCTGACCAATCTGAGGCATAGTCTAGCTCTCACTTGTGTGCTTGTCTTTGTTTTGTGTCCGACTTGGGTCTAAGCCCGTAAATCACTATAGGATAAAAGGTAAAAACCACGTGCACTACACAAAGTGAAGAAAGATAACATGGCCGGAAGATCACATATGTTAGCTATGGCCCAAAGTATTAACCACTTTACAAGAAGCAAAATATTTTTAAGTGTATAAGAGGCTTGTTCTTTGGCCTGGTTTGTGCTTTGTCCCTTGTCCTAGGTCAACTTTAGCAAACTTAAGTGTTTGATATCCCTCCTGTGATGTTCTAGAGATTTTTGGTGGAACCTTCATATAATAATTTTAAAAGGTTAAAAGTTGTAACTTGAGAATTTTAGAGAAAAATACCTATGATCACAATTAAAAATGTTGATTAGACTCTTGAAATCATTTGTAACTACTTGGAATTCTGGTATTAAAATTGAAATTGATAAAAAGTGAGGCAAAATAATTTTTTGGACATCAAATATAAAGAAACAAAACAAAATATCACCATATTTTAATTGTAACACCCCAAGCTACCTGAGTCATATAAGACAAAATTTATGATCATGATGAAATTGATGTTTATGAATGATTCTATTTTAGATTTAAAAAAACATGTTTAAATGAAATTTATGTTCACCTGGGTCCATGTGAGACGAAATTCTTGCTTGCCCATACTTTGGGTAGGATGTGTGAACTCCCACAAATGAGTTTTGGCCCCTATCTTTCATGTTTTCTTGTCTTCTTTGCCACACAAGTTTCAACATGGCAAAAGATAACAAAATTTAACAAGAGGCCTCACACTTTACATGTCAATTTGGAGTGGCCAAGGCGAGACAAGATGTCGATGCCACTCATTCCCTGCCCCTATGCTTGCCACCATCCCTTGTACGGAAGAACACAGAAACAATTACTTTGTACGGTGGTTCTGCCAAGACGTAAGAACGCTCTGGATCCTTCTCTACCTCAAAGAGAACTTGGTGCCTTTCTTCTCATTGAATGAATCTCAAGCGATGGGTCACGGGACATAGACTATGTTCTTGGTTCGTATTGGTCTCGGGGAAAGAAAAGGATTGAGAAGAAGATATTTCGCAGCTCTAGCAGAAACTTCTCGAGATCTTGTCGAAGATTCGCAAGCCTCGTACGCTCGCTCGCTGCGCCATTGCCGAGCTCAAAGATCTCCTCCAAGGCAAGTCCGTCCACCGCCGGATCAATCAGGCAGGCCTCCAGAGAAATTTCCAGCTGGGCAATCTCCTCCTCCAAATGTATGGAAATGCGGGGATTTAAGCAGCGCTCAAGAAGTCTTCGATTCCATCCCAGAAAAACCACGCTCGCCTGGTCCCTATTCGTCACCGCATATGCCCAGAATGGGCATACCAGGTCTCTACGACTCTATGCAAAGCCACGGCCTTTTTCCAAGTGACTTTACCATCTCGGTGGCCCTCAGCTCCTGTTCCAGCCTCAAGAGCTTCGAGCGAGGAGCGAGGATCCATCGCTGGGCTGACGAGCACGGCTATGGCTCCAACCTTCTCGTCCAGAACGCGCTCGTCAACTTCTACGCAAAGTGCTCCAAGATCCCAGAGGCAATGAAACTGTTTGGCGAGATGAGCGAGCGAACGAGTGTCACCTGGAACGCAGTCATTTCGGCTCACGCCCAGAACGATCGCTGGCACTCTCGATCTCTATCGCGAGATGCTGGCCGAGGCTGTCGAGCCGAGTAGCGTCACCTTTGCGGTGGCTCTTAGCGCTTGCTCCAGCTTGGGAGCTATGGAGGAAGGCTGGAGAATCCACGCTCGGTTCTCACTGTGTGGATTCCACCGCGCCACCATCGCCCAGAATGGGCTCGTAAGCATGTACGCCAAGTGTGGCTGCCTGGACGGAAGCTCGAGCTATCTTCAATGGAATCCTGGAGCGAACTGTCGTCTCGTGGTCTGCCATGATCGGAGCTTATGCTCTCCATGGCCGCGGCCAGGAAGCTCTCCTTCTCTTTCATAGGATGAGAAAAGATGGAAGAGTGGAGCCGAATGCCATGACTTTCACTGGAGTTTTCAATGCCTGTGGCGTGGTCGAGGATCTGGAGCAAGGCAGAGAGATTCACGCTCTCGCCATGGCGAGTGGAGAGCTCAAATCATCCAGCCCCATCCTGGAGAACGCGCTGCTGAACATGTTCGTGAGGTTTGGCAGCCTGGAAGAAGCTCGCAAAGTCTTCGACGCGATGGATCATCCGGACGCCTTCTCGTGGACGAACATGATCACCGCTTGCACAGAGAACTGCGAGCTTCTCGAGGCGTTGGGCTCTTCCACTGGATGAATTTGAAAGGGGTCCCTCCAACCAGTGTCACGCTCGCCAGCGTCCTCAATGCGTGTGCTTGTTCTGGAGCTCTCAAAGTTGGCAAGCAAATCCATGCCCGCCTTGATGCCAGCGGCTTTCTCCGCCATGCAAACCAGGAACTCTGTATCCTGGACTGCGATGATTGCCGCGCTTGCTCAGCACGGCCAGGGCGATGAAGCTCTCGAGCTCTTCAAGGAGATGAACTTGGAAGGCATGGTGGCCGACGCCACCACTTTCATCTGCGTTCTCCGCGCTTGCAGCCATGCCGGGCTCATCAAGGAGAGCCTCGAGTTCTTCCACAGCATGGTGGAGGACTACGCCATCGCTCCAACTGAGACGCACTACTGCCGAGCGCTGGACACGATCGGCCGCGCGGGGCGCCTCCAGGACGCCGAGGAGCTGATCCACAGCATGCCTTTTCACCCCGAGACAGTGACATGGAAGACGCTGCTCAACGCTTGTAGAATCCATAGCCAGGCCGAGCGAGCTACAAAGGTGGCGGAGCTCCTCGCGAAGCTCGCGCCCGAGGATAGCATGGCGTACACGCTGCTGGGAAACGTCTACGCCGCCACCGAGAGATATGGAGACCAAATGAGAGTGAGGAAGAGCATGACGGATCGGGGCCTCAAGAAAGTACCCAGGAAGAGCTTCATCGAGGTGAAGAACAAGGTCCATGAGTTCGTCGCTGGCGATCGAGCTCATCCCAGCCGAGACGAGATCTTGCTAGAGTTGGAGAAGCTCGGCGGAAGGATGAGAGAAGCCGGGTACGTTCCAAACACGAAGGACGTCCTTCATGCCGTGAACGAGGAGGAGAAAGAGCAGCTGATTGGATTGCACAGTGAGAAGCTGGCCATTGCGTTTGGGTTGATCGCCACACCACCTGGAACTCCTCTCTTGATCGTCAAGAACCTCCGGGTTTGCTCGGATTGTCACGCCGCCACCAAAGTTATTGCAAAGATCATGAGGAGGAGGATAGTTGTGCGAGACACTCACAGGTTCCATCACCTTGAGGATGGCCAGTGTTCTTGCAAGGATTACTGGTGAGACATTTTTTTTGTCGTCCTTGCAATACGTAAAAAACAAACATGAAACTACTGGCTTAAGAAAGTGCAGAGGGCGTCTACTGGAGATTGTTTTGCAACACGGTCGAAAATGAAGAAAATCAAGGCCGTGGACCGAACCTGCGGGGAAAGCCCACATGATTTCTAGTCATGTCTACCTTTAGCTGCTAGTTCAGAAGGTCAAGAAGAATGAAGTGGACAAATTCTTGTTATCACTCAATTCTTGTAAATATTATTGCATTCTGTAAAGCAAATTATTTCTATTCAATAAGACAATTCTAGCTTAAGCAGCCATTCATTTTGATATACAGTACATTCATAGGGATTAATTTACCTTTATAAAAAATATGATCAGAGAAACCAACACTTAAAGTAGTCAAAGTAATATCACAATTTTCAAAATATTTAAAAACTATATATATTTTCTAAATAATTTAAAGGTTTCCAATGAGTTACTAATATATATCAAATAAGATAATTATTTGTCACAATTTTACATTTACTAATGAGTGCTTGCAATAAATCATTTATTACCTTTTTAATTATTTCATTTATTAATCTTTGGAGAGAACCACATAAAATTTATTTTCCAGTTGAAATATCTGTAGAAGAATATGGAATACTTCCAGTTAAACATTAATTTTTATAATAACACTTCCTCCATCAATATCTATTAAATCAGTATCAATATAACTTTGTGGATAAAGATTAGATTCATGTAATTTTAGTGCAAGTCTTTTAATGTGATATAAAATTGTATTAATATCTTCCTCAGTAAGTGAATTATTCTTTCCACAATATATATTTATTTTACCAAATAGAATTCCATAATGTATATTTAAAATAAAAATAACTATAAGGTTTATAAATACATATATGTATATACGTGTATAATCTTAGCTAGGTAATACACTAATTATAGTACTATAGCATATAGACTATTCATTTGGGATTGAATGTAGTCTATCCACTTTTATATATAAACAAAGTCTAAACCCTAATTAATATATTTATTCCTATATCCCAAACATTCACATTGTATTGCAATTTGTCTTTGAAGAGCAAAATTTTTTGGTAGTGCTTTGCTTTGGTGTTCAGGATTATGTTTTATTTTATTTTTTTCATTCTCTTTTAGATTTAGATCTATATTAGCTTTTTGTAAGATCCAAAATTTTAACTATCACTATGCTTAGATTTACTCTTTTTTTTTCTGATTTTCATTACATTCTCTTCTTTTACTATACCATGCCATCATCAATTAAGAAGTATATCATTTGAAGCTGTTGATACTACTCCATTGGATCAAGTTTTTGGAGTTGTGAGGTGTAATTATATTGGTGTTACATCCATTCTTAATGTGTTGCCACTTCCATGTGATTATATGGTTTTTCTTATTCTCAATGTTCTATCATCTCCCATTGATGTGGAGCATCATCATGACATCAATTGATGAGATATAGATAATGTAGTTTGGTTTTTGGAGAATGTTTAAAAATCAAGTTTATGGGAAAATAATGTTTATGAGCTCAAATGGATTTTGAATTGTGATGAGGAACTTAATTAATATGGAGATAGTTTTGAAGATAAACTAGAGATTTTGCAGGGTATATATCAATTCTTTAATCTATCATTTAATCCTTTCTTTTTACCTTTTGCTCTTTCCCAGTTTTTCGTTATTTCTTGACATAAACCACTCTTTTATGTTCTTCGTGTTCTTTCCTCATTTGCAATATTTCCTTCTCACTCAACTCAATATTGGATTGAGAATGAAAATCATAAAAATTAAAAATAATCAATGTGTCAAGTTTTCTATCCTTCTTATACTAATCTAGATATTAAGTATAGATGTGAAGTTGAAAATCTTGTTTTTATTTCTTTGGCAGAGTCTTTGCTATTGAGCATTCCTCTATTCTAAGAGTTACATCATTTTGGCTAGAGTTTTAGATTGAGTATGTATTCCTAGTTATGAGTGTTATTAAAAGCCTTTACTTTATCATTGATGTTGAGGGGTTTATGTATTCCTTTAAAAGTGTGGATTTTTTTTATTAATTTTCTATTTTAAGTGTTGAATTGTGTGTTGAGGAGGTTAAGCGTTATGAATCTTTTACTTATTTCATGCTAGTTGAAGTATTTTATTATACTAAATCTTTTATTCTTCAAGCTTTAAATATGTTTTCTTCTTTTCTTCCAATTTTTATTTTGACAATTGCTGAAAATTATTCTTCTAATGCTTCTTTGTCCACTTTTTCTTTATCCACGATGTTTCTTCTTCCCTTTTTCTTACCTTCTCCTTTTTGCTTTGATTTTTCAAAAAAAATTTCTCAGAGGAAGGGTTTAACTCCGATGATGCTCTATTTCGTTAAAGTGGGATTTATTTAGTAAAATGGGACTAGATACAAATTTTCAAGTATTTGAAAATGACGTGAAATTATATGTTTTTTGTCCAGGGGCTAGACATATCTGGGGCATGGTGACTAGTGCGGTGACTTTGTGTCCAGACTGAGTCCATCTGGTTGTATAATAAATCTCATTGTCAAGGTGAACAAGCCGAATCTGAAGCTAAAGAAGAGCGATGGCATACGTGCACACACTATTTGTTTGTTCATTGAGCGTGTGGTGAGCTTTCCAAGATGAACGTCATTCCTATTAGCCAGACATATAACTTAATGGTGAGAACATTTAAATATTATTCAATGTTATCTTTTCTAACGAATCTAATTGTGAAGGTGTAGCAAGAGGCATTGCTAGTCTGGAGAAGTCATTTAACTCATTTGACCCTTAGTGTATTTTCATGAAACTAAATAACATTCATATTATTAAGGAATTTTTCTAGTACCTTTTTTTTACGACATAGAGGCTTGCATTTCTTTCAAAGGTGATTTAGTAAAAGGCTTGAGGGCACATGCCATTCTATTTCTCAGACCGGTATTAAGATATACTAGTGCAAAGGGAAAAAGGTATTTGGTGATCAAGTAAATGGCATGAGGGCACACACCATTATAAGCCTAAGCGCTAGTGGACACCTCCTTTTTGGTGTCACGCCTCACGCCATCACGCCATGCCATCACGCCTCCTCTGATTCAGATTCGGATTGTTCACCTTGAAATAAAATACATAATCTCACCTTGAACCCGGGTTATAAATGCTCTTGCTGCATCTCTTGCATGGTCTGGCAAGGTGATGGTGGCACTCTGCTTCCGCATCCAACCATGCACAACATTATCCACCGATATGCTCATGCTGGGATCCCTTGGATTCAGCACCCATCTCTTTTCTAGGCAATCCTTCGTATATCCGGAACTTGGCTTGAACCACTCCACAGTTACATTAAAGGAGTTAGTTTCCGCGTCCTCCTCTGCATCAGTGATGCAGTGCCCCACCCATATCATTTGTTTTTTATTACTGGGTCTGACAAGCACGACCATTCCTTTGCAGACCTGTACTGGATTGAATGCTGAATCCGGCTTCTTGTTCCTCGGCCCACAATAGTGATCCTCAACATCGTTATCTGTCACTACATTTCCAGAGGACATTGTTCCGCTACTATCTGGTGCTCTGGGTTCTGGCCAAAAGGACTCTTCCAATTCTTCATATACAACCGGCCCATTTTGGATAGTAGATATAATCTTCTCCCAGTATTCGAGCAAAGGCTTGCACCTCTTAAAATAGGATTCTCCACCAAACACCAACCCCCTCTTCCAGAAGGCAATATGCTGTCTAATCTCGGCCACTATACTTTCCTGGTCTTTGAGTCCATCCGGGTGCATCGGCCGTGGGGAACCCTAAGGAATCATAGGTTCCCCAGTTATGGGATCTCTCTTGAAGAGTTCAATGCTGTCCACTGGCAGCCACACTGTGTCCCATTCTCTCATCTTGTACCTCATCACTGGAGCACCGTCACGCATGCTGAAATGAAACTGAAGAGGCTTGGAGTGGCCAATCAGCGTTTCGGATCCGTCCCTGATGTAGCCTCTTACAAACCCCTTAAAGTCTGGAACCTCTGTCACAAGTGCAGCTTCAATAGTGCCTTTGATGCAATTTTGGAATTCATCGTAGAGTTGTGGGAGGGTGAGGACATTGGATCGCCGGAGGGACTCTGCCAGGTGACTGAACATGGCATCGACGTCTTCATGAGTGTGCCCAACCATGAGAAAGCCAAGTGTAACCGTTTCAAATATGCCTTTGGCAACAAGCATCGCCAAGTGGGGTGGAAGGCCACATCGGCCGCAAGAACTTCCTTGAGATTTTGCTTCGTTTGGATGAGGCTGTGCATTCACCGGGCGACCAGCCTCGTCGGAATGGCATGAGGCCTCACGTGATAACCCTACAATCTGACGGCCAACATATTCACTGGGATGGCATGGGGCCCCACACGATACTGCAAGCCTTTGCTCCTCCTCCAGCTGAACCCTATATGGGGTTCAATTGACAAGGGCCTTATGCAAGGGTTGGCCGTTCAGCTCAGTCTGCGCACTTTGCAGAGACCTTAAGTGTTTTGCTAGGGACGCAATCATCATGTTTGCACCCCCGCCACCCCATAGAGGTACAAAGAAGTTCCCATAGTTCTGGGCACCATGCCCATGAGCGATTATGCCAAACAGAGACACAGGCAGCTGCATGGATGAAGAGATTGCCTTGGGGGCAGGATTGAGTCGAGGTAAGCACGTCTTTTTCTGGTCCATTTTGTCGTGGATGATGCAGAGGTAAGAGTCAGGTCTCTCCATGGAGAGAATCCTGTTATGATAATATGCAGTCCTGCAGCTTCTCTGCTCGATGTTGTGGTCGAGCCGCCTTCTAACCAACGTCTCTCGCTCTTGAGCGCTGCAAGAATTCTTCGACAAAGCCATTTTGATAGCAGTGCACTCGTCACACTTTGAAAAGCTGGAGTACTTTCCTATACTCACATCCCTGAACCTGTTGCTCCACAATCTACTAAATCTAGATTGGCTCAACTTCCTGTAGCCATTACTCTGGAATTCCCGATTCACATCTTCCAATATGGCCCCCTTGGTATACATGGAAGGGAGAACTCGTTGGGTGTCTCGAGTTCCATCTTCCAAGAGGCGGGTTTTATGTGGTTGCTGCTCGCTATATGTCTCGACAAACCTCTTGAAGATTGCCTCTCCATATACAACATGACCCCTGGTTTTGTGAGTACCGTCG